TGTGTGTGTGTGTGTGTGTGTGTGTTAACCTGTCATCTCTTACGTAGGTGGTGAAATAATCATGAGAAGTCTATAGGAATCTGGGCCTCGCTATATTTATAGTCTAGACCGTGTTTGTACCTATGCAACCAGGTGGCTGTTCAAGAAAGGTTCCTTACTGTGTGTTTTGTTTTCCTGGGAAATGGACAAGAGCCCTGAAAGTTGGGAATGGCTTTTACAACTTTAAGCAAGCCCCTGTGTGTTAAAGGCGATCCTGTCAAAAGGCATTAGCCAAACTCCAGCTGGTGATGTTGCCTAGCAACCCAGTCAGAGCTGCAAGAGCCCTTCACTGTGGGAACCAAGGTGATAGTCAGAACTGCCTAACTCTCCACAAGGTGATTAAAAAGCATATTGAGGCCCCTCGTCCAGCAGTGTCACATGTAACTACCCTGAGGTACATTTTTTGGCTCCTCAGATAGAGCCATTTCTTAAGTTATAACTATTCTGCTTGGTGTTAATGAAAACTTTGGAAACAAAAAAGGGAAAATTAAGTAATAACTAAGTGTAGTAAAAATGTTTCATGAAGTGAAGGCCTTAGTGCCTCCTCCCCGCGCTGTCACTGGTTTGAATGTGGAAGAAAGACAGGACGAGAACTACTTCTAAAAGTAGCTCACATCTAAGTAGATGGTTTTTAAGTCTATGGCATTATGTAAATATTGGCGTCTCCAAAATCTCTCAGGGGCTTATTCAACAGATGATGATCACAGGTACGTGTTGTGTCCCAGATACTGTGGGAAGCACAGTGATGAAAACCTCCAGGATCCCCATGCTCGGAGAGCTTTTACCATTGAGGAGGACAGAAAGACCATCCATCATGGCAACCTTTTCCTAGAGAGCACAATAGAATATGACAGAGTTTTATGTGGGGAGAATTTAGTTCCTGAAGTAGGCATGAGTAATTTGAATTCTCTCATTAGAAATGAATATAATAGTCAACAAAGAAGCAGTGTTTATCATCTCTATTCTTAAAGTTTCTCTGATACTGTGACATCTCAGAAAGAGGGAAAAATTGACCTTTAATTCTGGAACATCATGTCTTTTTGATGCTGTAGTCACGAGGAAGAGCTGAAACACCATCCTGTTCTTACCCTGAGTTGCTAACTAGGAAGGCTTCCATCATGGCCAGCAGCTGGGATTTCGGGGCCTAGCACAATCACTTTTGTACAACTTCAGTCTTTTCTGAACGTCTTTGATTGAGACAGTTTGCTTCACTATTATTTTGAAGGAACCTTTCCTGAAAGACTTCAGAAATCATTTGCCTGCTTTTATTTTAAAAATCTTAAATATCTAGGTTAATAAATTTGACTTGCAGTTGACTTCTGCAACTCTGTGCCCTTTTCTGATCCTGACAGTTGAGGCCCAAGTGGCTCACAGTGAAGTCGTAGTGACTTGGGAAGTATTGCTATGGATTTGCTCATCAGTCTGTGTGTCCCCATTGATCTGGGACCAGCATTCCAGAAATGAGTACCAACGCGACAGTCACTGTGGCGTACCCATTTCCATCTTTGTCCTCTTTAGAACCTTTCTAACTATCTAGCACATATTGAGATTACCAGTTCCTTAGGCCCACCTATTTCATAATCTTCACAGGTAACTCTTGCACTAATGCATAGTTGTACCTTAGTCTGTTTTCTGTCCTGAAACCTGATAGGCACTTCATGATTTGTTCCTCACCTTTTGCTGTTTATTGTGTGGGAGAAGGGCTTTCTGAAAGGTACACATGTGCACATGGCGGTACTTATCAGGGAACTTGAGCACGTGTGGCTCATAAGGATGTCAAAAGAGAGTTAGCATGCGCTTATTTGAGATTTTAACTGAAGTTGTTGGATTTTGAATCTGTATTTCTAGACACTGTTTCCAGCAAGTTGCAGAACAACAATGTTTATACTATTGCCAAGAGGAATGTGGAAGGGCAGGACATGCTGTATCAATCCCTGAAGCTCACTAATGGCATTTGGATTTTGGCTGAGCTACGTATCCAGCCAGGAAACCCCAATTATACGGTAAGGCCCTTCTCACAGTGGGTGAGATGGATTCGGGGGAGGGAGGTAAGAGCCC